GTTGACAAACACAGGAAATACTTCTGGATGCTCATAACACTTGTGAAATATCCTGCTAGGAACACTGATGCAAGCAAGAACTGGCTTCTCTACATTATGTCTCACTTGGCAATTCTTACTTTCCAAATCTGGTATACTGAGTGAAAAGTTTTGCAGACTTCCAGAAGCCCAATAAAGGAGCCATTTAAGAAGTCTCTCATGCAACTCAAACATATCTGTGAAATGTTATCAAGGTTACTGTCACTTGCCATCACCACCAAAGCTCATGTGTTTCTATTGTTCCTACAGATTTGCAAATACCTCTCCTGTATTCTTGGTGTCCAATCTCCTTTTCAATACACATTTTATTAAACCTTTTTCTTTTGCAGGGCATCTGTTCAAAAACCCACACCAAGAGCAGAGCAGAAGTGTCCTCAAGGTTTCTTACTTAGCTGCTCACTAAAGGGAACAAGACCAGAAACCTGCAAGAAATGCCTATATACAGTGATGGTTGTGAAGCAAAAGCAGCAAAACCAGCAAAAACATTCAGAAAATCATGGATTCCCATGAAAATGGCACCCTGTTGTTGGATCACACACTTCAGTCACTAATGGCACGCTGCTGCCTGGGGAGTTGTGCTGCTGCCAGGAAAATGACTTGCAAAGGGATGGAAAAAATGTAGAAGTTTTATTTTGAGTACACAAACAACTGACTTCTCAATTATTTTGGCTTCCTTCAGATAAGGTTTCTGTTTGGCATGACAGGGATGAGCCAGCAGGCATAGATCATCTTTGCTGCAGACGGGGAAACCCATGGAGTTGCACTCAGAGGCAGCTCTGGGGGTGGTGCTGGCAAACACCCACTCCAACCAAATGGATGTGGGAATTCCTTTCCACCCCCCAGCACATGGGAAGAATTATATTACAGAAAATCACAGTTTAAAAGATGCATGCTGGAGGTCTCTTGCTTAGTAAGACTTATTCAAAATGTATAGAAAATACCCTCCCTGCAAAAGAAATACTGTAAAAGGAAACTATTTTAAGCTTCATTATAATGAATGAAGATGAAATTTTAATCACAGGCATAGAAGCTGGCTATTGCCTTAAGAATAGTTATAATTACCAGATTTCATTCAATATGAGCAAACAGAAGACAGCAATTTGAAATGGCCAAATTACCATTAATGTTTTACTTGCAGTATCACTCAGTTAAGACAAAAAAGGGAATGAGAAGATGAATCATTAAAAATACTCAATAGGTGGCCTATACACTGTATTTCCATAATTAAAACTAGGCCATTATAGCTGAGTATTCATTAGACCTCACTCAAGAAAGAGATTTAAGAAGACACAAGTAGTATATATCAAACAGAAAAATGACAAAACCAGACATCCATCAATCAAATAATTACAAGACTCAAAGTTTCTCCAAGTAATTTAAGAAAAGTTAAAAGTTATGGAAAATTGCCTGATGTCAGGACTAAAAGAAGATACAACAGAACAGAGCAAGCCCTTAGAAAGGCAAGGACAAAGTGAATGGTGTAGAAAAGGCTATTGTTTTGTGAAAAGGCATAGGAAGATTCTAAAGTATCTCTTCAGAAAGTACTGGGGGTCATTTGAGATTTTGGGTGAGCTGTTTTTCAGTCCACAAGGAACTGATTTAAAGAACATATGCTAAACAAGCATTAATTAGTGTTTTAATAAAAACCCAACACATTTAGGAGAGCCGTCTCTGAACACATTTTAATTAATTTTTTTTTTCAAAAAATGCCAAAATAAAATGGAAGTTCAAGAAAGCCTTAAGACATTGCTAAAAATTGGCTGATATTTTAAAACATCAAGCTGCCTATTCTATCCATCAACCTTCGACCAATCCTGAGCCAAAAAACTGTAAAGCTGATAGGACTCTATTAATAAAATATTCAAGGATTGAGATATAATTAATGACAGTCAACAGTTCAGGGAAAATTAGTTTTTAGCATCAAATAGGCATGACTTAATTCTCTGATGAGATTATAAGGTTTTGTGTACAATACACCAACATAACTGGTGGCATAAAGTTTCATTAGAAAACAGACTGCCAAAGATGAACAACTATTCAGATGATGCATCTTCAACAGCAAATGAGGGAAACTATTAATTAAATAGTTATAGCTCCTACGGGGTCTGCCACAATTTGAGCTATGGCTGGCACTTTTCATATTTATTGAATATAAAAATATAATTCAAGCACCAGTAATTACTGTGGATAAGCACAAGAGTGGCAGATAGCTACAGGTAATCACATACACAACACATGACATCATTTGCATGATAACGATGCTTTCAGATGAATTCTTTTTTAACACAAGGAAATGTAATCTATTAAGAAAGAGGCAGGGGAAAGTGCATCTCCATGGGAACAACCATTTGCTTGAGTGACACAAGTATGAAAAGGGGGGGTGTAGGTACGTCACAGGAAGCAGCTATGAGTCTGCTGTTTCTCTCCTGAGGTTTCACAAGATTCATGATTAATTATTGACAGACTATTAAGCGACATTTTGTTGGGGTTTTTTTTAAGTTCAGTACCTGATCTTTTGGCAGTAGCTTCAAGATCAAAGTTGGAAACAGATTTGGTTTAAGGACTAATACTCATGACCACCATTCCCAGCTGGGTAGGTGGGTTAGGAGATATTTAAATGAGAATTTTATTGTGATCCTTGGAGAGGCAGGCATGATGATACATTAGACATATTTGTATAAAGAGAACTTAAGAACTTGCTTCACTGGGTGAAGCAAAACTTTCAAAAGCTGTTTCACTAGATGAAGTGTCAGTCTTGCAATTTGCAAGCCTTTGTTTAAAAAGAAGGAGTGCATTTTTGATGGCCTCTCAAAACAATGGATCCTCTAAGGAAGGACACATGCTCTGCTTGTTCTGAATGGGAAATTACTGTACAGCAAGACAGGAAAGGCTTGAATACTATAGTTTAGTTGAGGACACTGATTCAGGAAAGGTAAAAAACGTTGTACAGATATACACAGTACACAGCACATACATGTTTCATTATGGTAAGAAGTTCACAGCAGCTAAACTTTTAAAAAAGAGTACTCTTAAGCACCAGCTCCTTTGGATGGATATTAAGAATATTCTGAATCCATTTGTGAGTTAGGTATGCCTTAGACAGTTTCTCACTGTCACTGTTTATATGGGCTTAAAAGAGCATGAGAGGTGCTTCACATTCTGGATGCTCACCAGGTAAGTGTGGTCACAGCACACAAAAACCAGACCCCATCATAAGGCACTTTCTGCCTCAGCTGAACAAACACACAGAGAAAACCATTAGAAAGGGAACAGGGAATGTTGTCTGTCTGTTCTGAGGCACTGTTACTTGTCATAACAGTGCTTCAGAACTCAAAACCCATGCAGGTGTGCACAAAGGGCTGAGGCTTGGGAGTTGTGACACCTAGGGATGGTTCAGCCATGAAACCACCAAGCTTTTTTCTCACACCTTTTCATCACTCACCTCTAGAGCAAGGGGAAGCACCCTGCACCATGCAGTTTTGCTAAGACTGAAAATAAACACACACATAGGCTAGGACACACCTCTATTCCTTCACTTAAAGAGATTTCTGTTGGACATAAATAAAAATGTGTTTGTATCAAGCAAATATTGCCCACATTTTACATGAACACTTGAAATATTATAACAACAGGACTGCAATCCTTTGTTAAGGTACCTTTCAAACAAAATATATACATTATATTTATGTTTTAAACAACATAAATCTATATAAAAGGAGCTTAATGTCACAACTGGGACTTTAATCTTTGAAAAGTCATAATCACATTTCCTGGCACTATAATCAGTATGTTCCAAGAGTATCTGTAGAAAGGACTGTGCCTAAATATTACCATGGTAAACTTTATGATAACCTTGTTTGCCTGCCACCCATCCTCTAGTGCCCAATTTCCATGTGCTTTATGGCAACTCAGCAGTGGAAGACATGGTAATGAAGGTGTGACTAAGAAACAAAGCCTGTTAGAAGCAACATTGGCACAGGATTATCCTGCATAAGCTATTGCCGTGTTATTTTTAAGTGAATCTTTTAACTTTCTAGAAAATCCAATCCCCGAATCCTAATTTTTCTATTGAAGAGTCATTTTGTACAGCAGTCTACAACAGAATAAATTTTCTCTATATAAGACTTCATAAAGCACAAGCAAAAAACCAAAACAAAAGTAAAAGAAAATGCCTCAAAACACTTTTAATGTGCCTGTTTCTGTTTTATTCATAACATCCTGAAATACCACAAGTAGGTCTTCCTGGCATAAAACAACAACTTATCACTGTGTTTATAACCTTTTCTAACCTTTTCTATGCAAAGCCCTTTTTAATCAGTCTTTAAAAATCAAAGAGAAAAAACCCATTTAACTTGACTTTCAAAAAGATTTCTTTAAAATACACACAAAATTTTTCAAAGCTAGATTATTTTATGTGTATGAGATACTCTTGTGAAGACTTGATGTGCAAGTTGAAAGTAGAATACATATTTAAGGACTTGGAAGTTGACAGAACATCTCAGACCACAGAAACTTAACTGTATATAGCCAAGCTGTAAAATGCATTTCATAGAGTGATTTAGCTTTGGCTATGATACCTATGCTGAACAATCCAGTTTACATCCTTCATCTTTCAAGTGAGAGGAGTTAGCATCAAAGGACAGGATTCAGCAGTTGATTTGTCTATGGAACTCAGTTCTTCAGCCACTGAAAACACAGAACCTTTGAAAACTGGAGCAAAAGTAACATCTTTTTCTTCTGGATGTGATGGAAGGAAACATATTGCAGATTTTCACACGTGATTCTCCACCCACACCCACTCTCTCTGTCTCTCCCTCCCTCAATCATCTACCCATCATGTCACCTCAAACTAAGCATAAAGACCAAACACACATGTTAAAAAATATTTATATCCACATTACATTCCCAACCTGAAATGCATCAAGTCTACTAAATTTATTCCAAAATACAAAAGGACTTACCCAGTGTGTCTTTTAGATTTTTAACCAGAGAACCTTTCTTCAAGCTGTTTTTTCGCTCCACATAATTTGATGGCACATATCCCGTTTTGTTGGCCGCGTTTCTTACCCTCCACCATGTCTTAGAATCATCTAATAGCCAAAGACGCTCATTTTTCTTGATGTCAAGTTCTTGGTCCTGCTGTGCAGTGTAATCCCACTTTGCAATAACAATAACTTCTTCTGTCATCTTTCATGGAGTCCTTCTGCAACAAAATAATAAAACATTATCCTCATAAACTTTGTCATATAATTCTTATTCTTTTTTCCCTTTGAATTCTTCTAAAATAAGTAAGAAAAAGGCTAGGGGAAAATGAGAATGTCATACAGGGAAAACCCTCTTAAAAATAAGGGAAGTCATAATGACTTTTCTTAGTTTTTCAGCCACCAAAATATGGCAACATCTTGATAGTAAATTCTCGTCATAATGTATTACATTCACATCCTCCAAATGTATATAAAATATTACATGGATATATATTAACAGAAGCTTACTTATAAAATCTGTTCAATTTTTTCATATAGCATTATAAAAGTATCCCACATCTGGGATTCCAAGTTCTGATCTGAGAAAAAAAATAAAATAGCAGCACTTAAAAAATGTGTTTTCCCTCTGCACTAGCTCTGCATCCTCATACTAATGTCACACATATAAGTTTTCTGCATTTAAACAAAGTTGTCCATCTTTATTTAGTAGAAAGTTAAGAAATAATTCAAGAAGCAATGTAACCCAGCAGGGAAATCTACCATCAATAAGAGGGTAGATTTAGCTGTCTTTAGCAAGCCTTTGTTCACTGTTTTGTGCAGGCAGCACAAAACTGCCTTTAAGAATCTTCACTCCCCCTTTGTTCCCAGGAAGATCCCAGCTCAGCATAGTCCTGCACCAGGCATTAGTCAGCAGGGTGGAAAAGAGCACCCACTGGATTTCACTTCTTCCCTACCTGAAACATATCCAGAGTTCCATTAACACTGAATGAGCTGTCTTTCTCTCACTTACCTGTAAGAACAATGATATTTTTCAAAGCTATTTGTCAGCTGCACAAAGACAGCTGCATGCCTCCACGTTTTCCTACGCATCCCAGCAATTACCAGGAACAATGCGAGGCAGCACACAATAGCGTGCAAGGAAAAAGTCCAACACTGGTACCAATGACATTCAAATATGTAATAATGCCAACCAAGACATGTTGACTTTACCTTCTAAATTCTGAGAAGTCACCTAAAATGTTCTAATTGCTGCCGTGCAGGTTGGGGGAGAGGGAAGAGGAGGAGAGAGAGAGTAGGAGGTGAGAACATATTTGAAAATCAATGTGTCTGATTTTGGGGTTTTTTTAAATAAAAGGTGTAGATTTCATTTGAACTACAGGTTAGTAGAAAAAGGTGCAAAAGTACTTCAAACTAATAATGTCCAAAGACTTCTGTAATATTTGACTTTGTTGCCTAGGTCTTAGAAGTCCACAACCCTATCTTCTCTGATACCTAGTAGTTTATGCGACAGAAAGGTAATTTAAAAACAAGCTTCATTCAGAAATTCTGTTCAGCATGTAAATTATATCACCTATATTCCAAAAGGGTTCCTTCTGCAGTCTGTAAATACACACACAAACACACACACACACTTCCCCCTTTAGCTACAGTACAAACTGTGAAAACTGCATGCCAGACAACCCAGCTTATCTACTCTAGGAAAAATAAGTGCTTTACTTAATCTATAATCATAAAACATAATAGTGAACCCTATTATAAATTAATAGCTGCCTCTTATAATGAATTTTGTTTCCAAGAGAACATCATATTGGCCTGAGCTACAATTGCTAAACCATTTGATAGCAAAAAGCTGTGCTTGCCATTTGCTGGCAAACGCCAGCAAATTTACTCCTCATGGCCAAGGCAGGACATGATTTTTGAAAATCTGAAGCTGAGTTGAACAGGTTTATATTCTCATTTTCCAATCAAAAACCAGAAAGAACACACAACAATTAAAACATTATTCAGATATACATTTGCATGGCTGAGGTCCCCTAGATGGATTTAAAGAGGAGCCATGATGCTTTGAATAGCAGAGAAGCACGATCCTTACAGCTCAGACAGGCTGTGACTTATGCAGAGGAACTGATAGTTTTACAAGAAATAAGTCAGTAAAAATTCAACCATTTTTTCCCTTAAAATAATAATCCCATCTGACAATGATAGAGAAGAGTCTGAACTTTGGACCTCAGTCTCCAATAAACTGCCCTGCTTTCTGACTGACATAAAATGGACAGAGAGCCTACAGGTCGATAAGCTGATGTAGCCACAGGGGACTGCAATCAAACATGTTCTGGAGGCTGGTGTTGTCAATATAATCTATCTCTCCAATTTAGGTTGGTTTATTTTATCTCAGCAATTGTAAAATGGTCAATTCTTACTATTCCTGGGGACATGGAGAACATGAAGAAATAGGACATCATCAGTGCAGTTGGTTGATGCTGTTGCCACTACATAGGCTCCCCTTCTAAAAAACATTATTTTCACAATACAGGAAAGTTAAAATTATCAATATTACAGCATATTAATAGTAATAAGAACCCCACATTAGGAATAATATTTGAGTAGTGACTAGTGGAAACTATTAAACTCTTCCTATACCTCTAAAGAAAAAAACAATTTGAATTGAGCCCTATTGTAAGAGTCATCAAGTATTTCCCCACAGTGTTGGGGAAGGACAGAAGCACAGGAAGAAACTATTTACCAGGGCTGACAACATCAACTGTAGTCCTCTGAAACCACCCAGGACATGGTGCTCAAACCTACTCAACTTCTTAAATTCACATTAGTGTAGACATGTAAAACTGTCACTATGCCTGAGAAATGCTGTCATTTCACAAGCACACCCCCTGCATGATGCAATTTTGGTAGAAGCACTCTGGACTATTCCAGAAGCCAAGTTTCCTGAGCACCATGCTCACACATAACCCCTTTCAGTAAAGTAGTCTCCAGGTTTTACTAAATTTTTAGTGGCACAAGCTCTCCTTCTCAAGTGGAGACAGGATTTAGAGTCAAAATGCATAATGCAATTGAAGTTAAACATTTGTCCATTTAAAGCTGTGTACATGTATGTACAACTCAGTTATGTTGGGTTATTTTTTTTAATTTTAGGTCTGTTCTTTCTGGGGAAGCAAATTTTGTTTTGTGTTTTGGGGTTGATTGCTTGTTTTGTTTTATTTTCTTTGCTTTTAATGTGGGGAAATGCATTAAAGATATTCAAATTATTTTCTTATGATTACATTATTAGACTGTATCCATCAAGGACAATATCACAGAATGTTCTGAGTTGGAAGGGACCCACAAGGATCATCAAGTCCAACTCTGAAGTGAACGGCTCACACAGGGATTGAACCCACAAACTTGGAGTTACCAGCACCACGCTCTCAATATGGCTCTTCCTGTGACATCTGCAGAGCTAAGATTTCCTAGTATGTAAATAAGGACATATTTGTTTCCCAGAAGGGAGGCTGTAGAGGTAATAGTTTTGAAATGCTTCTGCAACACAGCCATGTGCCAAATAAAAGATTATAAGCAGACAACATAACGAGATCTGGGGGAAAATGAAAAGAAAACAATAACACAGACTCCCAAAGCATCTGAGAGTACCATAAAAACTTGACACGGATTGAAAGCATGAAATTTCTTCAGTGCACTGCTTACATACTGCAAAATAAAACATACCACAGTTCCCGAGGATTTTAATGGCAACATAAGATTCCTTCACATCAAGAAAATGAAAATCTGTTACTGCTAAAAGTGTACACCATTTTGGAAAGTTCCTTCTCAAAAAGCTCAGAAGTCCTAGCGCTGAAATACTGAGTTGTCTTCTCCTATCTAACAGAACAACATTCCACACTGAAAGCACCAGTGAAAAGCTTTGAAATACGGAGATAATACAGGTCTGCAAGGAACTGCAACAGTCTTTCCTCCATACACTTGTTTCACATGACCCTGACTTTTACCTTACCACATCAAGTGGTCATTTACTTTACTTCTATGGCAAACCAACTTCCAACCTCAAAAACCAAAACCAACCCAAAATGAAGACACCACATAAAATGAGAGCAAACAGAACTCCACAACCCAGACCTTCAAAGGTTAATTCTTGCAATACCAATACACAACTCCAACTCCTTTTAATCCAGCAATTCCTTCACTGCTATCAGTCTCAAAAAACTAATTTATTTTACCAAGATTGTATTTTTGCTGAAATGTTAAAACTAACATAGCTTAGATTGAGCTAATGTATTTTCAGCCACTTAGTTACTTCCCTTTAGCTTAGGTTTTGTTAGGAAAGGAGTCCTGTCTTCAATGGAAGCTGCCCTACTGCAGAAGCACACATGAAAATTTTTCTACAGAAAATTATCCTTGGGAGAGAGCAAAACTGAAAAACTGTCCAGCCAAGAAGGCAATGAACAAAAACTCAGCCAAAGGCAAGACAGTTGTGGCTGTACTGAAAGTCTGCTCAGACAAGTGAAGAACATTAACTAACCATATGGCAGAATAAATGCAGACATTGGTGGAATATCTAGTACCGTAGCTTCTGTATGATTTTATGAGAAGAAAGTCCAGAAAGGAAAAGGTTATGATCAATAAACTATCAACAATCCAACAACTTAGCAATGACAGGAAAAACAAACTAAACAAAGAAACACCTATGCCATTTTGAAGCCATCCTTAAAACTGAACCATACAAGTAATATTTGAGATGATGGAAATTTAAAGATAGAGGAACTTAAGAGAATTTGCTCCAACAACCTTGTAAATCTACTAGTGATTCTTCATGTGAAAGATTTATTCAGTTGGTGTCATTTTAATTACCAAAATACAAAGAACTGTTATGCAGATCCCACTGTGTTTTTACCAGGCTGGGATTCCAAACCTCACTCTCTCCCCCTTGCCATATAGGACTAATATATTTCTCCCACGATGACCAATAGGAAAGGACTCTTATCAGCACGCCAAGCAAACTGCAATCTTCTCCTATAGACTGACACAAGTCAACACTCCATCTAGTTTAATGCCCTAGTGGGTAGAAAGGCCCTAGTGGGTAGAAAGGCAGCATCTTTTCTTGGCCTCAAGAGGAAGGCTCACAGTTATGTCAGGGTTAGTTAGGACAGTACAAACAGAAGGTAAACATGCAGTGAGAAAGGAAGCAGTTGTTCTCCTTGTTCACAAT